TGGGGACTGCAGCCGGACAGCTGGCTAACCGGACGGCGCAGATCAGTTACAGGGCTATTTTATTACATGGAGATGACAGAATTAGGAAGGAGAAGAGGATCGGGCCAGGAGAGAGCTTGTCAGGAGAACCTGGTGAAGTATGGCGTTTAAACACCATCCCTGGGTCTCACATGTGTCATGATGAAAAAGATACTAACATTCAAAACACCACATTTGCTTGGCAGATGTTCTTATCCAAAGCAACATACATTTTTCAGAAAGCAGGCTCAATCCCTGGAGAATCTGGGATTTAAACCAGCAATATTTCGATCATGGACACAGTGGCCTAAGCCACAGTCATACAGTGCCTCCCAAAACCTGCTGTGCCTCGATAAAGCATAATGGGTGAAAAATTCAATAAGTAGCCATGGTTTTCTGCAAGGACCTTCCCAGCCGGCCTCTTCAGAGATGGGCGACTTATAAGCTTACACTGTAACTGGAAGCAAATCCTGCAGTGCATGTAGTAACTGATCAATAAGAAGGCGGTCTATGGCAGAAATGAGGCACAGCCGGTAGGACACACTGACAACCGAAAGAAGGGTAGTTCGCAATACAGGGCGACTCATTACCCCCAATGAATAATCGCAGATGTCGCTTAGGAATGTAACATCGTGAGTATGGCTACGATCTGCCAGCTTACACAGACCTGCCAGGGGAACTGGCTCACTGGTGGACTGATTATGGCCACAGTTCATACCCCGCTTTTATTAAACAGGCCCATTCTCTCTGTATTCTATGTCCACATGCCTGGGGGGGGTGTGGGGCAGCCAATCAACCTTGGAGCCCCCAAAGGTTTATCCCCCCCCCCTCCCTAATCGGGATTATTTGGTTTCACTCCCCTGTCGTTTTCACTGTTTTCCCCTTTTTCCAGGTTTCATGCCCCAGTCTGTATAAATTAGAAATATTACGAAACCCTCCTGTTGTGCCTTGGAGCGACTCAGTTGTAAAAATGGCTATAAAAATACATGACACTGCATTTCAGTATCATTTCAGCTGGTATACCAAAAAAATATATCGGAGCTCATTCTGTAGTGACAGGTCACAGGAAAGAAAAAATAAATAAATAAAAATAACATGCCTCTGGTTTGGTTTCAGCTCCAGAACAGCTTGGAACGAGTAAAAATGTCAAGAGCATGAGAACAGCCTGTGCGCTGACAGACAAGGGACCGTTAAACCATTTCCTTATTCTTTAGATTGCCTACTGGCCAGCCGACAATGAGGAAGACCACAGAAACTAAACAAACTGTTCGATATGAAAAACGTCCACACAATAACAACTGTGCCCTATAACGATAACCAGACTGCTCTAGTTGAATACATTTACGCCTGTAAAAATACAAGATGGCCACTTAACACGGTCATGGACAAACATCCATATTCTCATGCTTTGCATTTACCCGATGGCTCATAAAATTGGTACCGTTGACGAAGACGGAAGGGAGACTTAACTGCGGCGGCTCCATTCTTAGCGTGAGGCTGAGGTGTACAGAGATAATGATCGACTGGCCTGCTACTGCAGGAGAACAACTGAAAGCTGAAAAAGAATTAAAACAGCATTTTCTGACATATTAAATACTTTATGCCAAGCTGTACCATGGGCACGTGGGATGGCATCCGAGAATATTACCTGCATGATATTTCTGGCCCACATTTGCTTCAAATTCATTTTGGATTTCAAATCTCTGATACTAATAACACAGTTTACAGGACATTCAAACGGCAGACCACAGTGTCCAGTATATTAATTCCGAAAATAAACCTTGGCATTAATTCACCAAGGTCTGATTATACAGGATTGCCTAAACGCTGTATGGTATGTGTTTCTATTAGCTGCAGATTACAAAGCACAGAATGAAAATACAGTGTTGATCTTATAGCCGACTGTTTCCTATCGTGACGCCCAATCTTTTGTACACGTGGTCTTAAACGCCACTGTGGGTTTCTAACATCCATCAGAGTGTCATCAGCTGGTATGTCTGGATCTACACTGACCACAACTGGAGACATGTTTCCAGAAAAGGAACAGAGGAAATTCCACTAAAATCTTCACTACTGATGCAATATGACACTTGCGACACTTTCACCGGACATGCTCAAAAAATAATTTTGCATAACAACAGAAATGCAGAGTCAAGATTCTATGTTTTGTAGGACAAGGGTTCTCAACAAATCATGTGACCTATACATTTTCCATAAATTTGGAATGAAATGGAAATGAAAACATTATTAGTTTTACTAATTTGTTATGAAACCCAGCTGAGATTCTTCCGTTTATCAGCGGAAACCCGGGTGTCATTTATCGTCAGAAACGCTACAGCCACCCCCCAGCCCTCTGTATCCTGTGGTGCAAATATGTATTTTTTTATATAGCACCTCCCTAGAACAAATGTCACAAAGTGCTTCATCAGAAATAAACTAAACATATTCAAACATCTACAGCCTGCCTGTCTGTACACAGGCTGTAATTTTTCAGGCACTGTTTAAAAGACACCCTGCCAGCTGACCTAATGTCCATTTGTAGACTGTTCCTCAGCCATGGGGCAACAACCGCATAAGCTCCGGCGCCCCCTTCAACAACGAAACAACCCCGATCAGAGACCCGAGTGTCCCATTTGCTGAGCGTGGGGTCAAAAGGTCACAGGTAAGTGGACACCTCCTTCTTAAGAGCCTTATACAGTAAGTAAATACAAGAATCTTAAAATCTATCCCATACTTTACTGGGAGTCAGTGCAGAGAAGCCAGAACAGGAGAAATGCATACTCTATAGCTGGTTCTGCCCAACTGAAGTGTTTTTGAAGCGGAGTTTGAGAGGCAGGTGAATAGCGAATCACAGTAGTCTATACAAGATAAAAACATGACTTATAGGCTCAAGAGAAGAATGAAGAAATGTGCCTTACCTAGATGTTTCTAAGCCAAAAAACTGGAGCGGGACAGCGATTCCACATGTTTCTCGAGATTTAAGTGTTTTTTGAAGAGAACAGCCAGGTTTTTAGAGGTGGACTTAATAAAATTAGCAAAGGGGCAGGGACAGAGGAGCAGCTTAGAGCTCACAATCTGGGCCAAGAAGGAGGACCTCGGTCTTGTTACAGTGTAACTGCACAAGGTTGTTCTCCAACCACTTCTTGACATCAGCTAGGCAGTCATGCAAGGCAGCCATTTTGTCAAGTTGATTGGGAGCGAGAGACACATACAGCTGGTGACCTCTAAGAATTGTCCTGCTGCCACTTTTTCTGTAACTTTGGATATAAATGGAAGTTGCAATTTTCTGGGAGGGGAGGGATATCAGGTGTAGAGTTTTTAAGGAGAGGTTGAACTATAGCTCTTCTGAAATAAGCCGACAATTTATAATGTGTCATTAGAATCTTGAAAAATGACCTTGAACGGGGGAGGGATCCGCAATTACAGTGTAAGCAAAGAAGCAGCATTACTGAAGACGATGGAGGCACAATCTGCTGGCTGGTCCCTGATGCATTAAAGAAGATTTCAGGCCTGGTGCTTGAATATCCTTCTCTAAGTCCAAACACACGACATGCAAATAAATCATTACCCACGAGTGACTGTTGTGATTTAATAACATTGATGCATTGCAACATAAATCACGTTAAACTGTGTTCGTTTACAGAGTTTTATTTAAGTAGTAAGCTATCCCACAGAGCATGACAAGCCGAAAAAGATGCTGCGACCTCGTACAGCTGCATATATGATAGGAACAGAAGGATAGACAGTGTGACCTTAGGTTCATGGCTGCTGAGGCGAGTCGCATCAGGAAATGAGAAGGAGCGACGTCTCAATTACTCGAGGCTAGCTCAAATAATGCAAAATAAACAAAAGGAGGAAAAAAAAAACAGAGCTTGTGCTGAAACTCCCCTGCAGCAAATGCGACGCAAGCTTTTTTTCCCCCGACAGCTACAAATAATGAAAGCAGGAAACCCTTTCATTGTTTAGCGTCGCGAGACGGCAGCCTTACCGCGCATTTCTGTCAGCTAGAGGCAAGCAGAAAGATGGATGGAGCTGATAAGAGACATTGTTTTGATGTCGCACTGGAGCAAGGATTATGTGAGGATTACAAGTATTTTTAAGAGTAAGACTTCGCTCCCTTGCCGGTTCTACAGGCATTGAACGTCCCCGCAGCGGAATGGCTGGCTGTGCCAAGCTCGACTGGCCAGTAAAAGAGTCTTAGAAAATTAAGACTGACGACTTTTTTCTAGCCTTCCTTCCAGCCAAGGAGCTACTGCTTCATTCTGCTGAGATTATTATAAAAAAAAATAAAAACACAGCATTACATGAGTGTCTATAAGGAAAATATTACAATTAATTCTCTGGAAATACTATGACAGCATTACAACATAAGCTGCAAATGTAAAGACATAAAATTAAATTGAACACCTTTAACTGTAATAGTTTGGCATATAAACAGCAAGCATGAGGCAGACCGTCAGCTTGTCACCAGCCCAGCAAACCCTAAATCACACCACCCCCATGCTGCTTTCTGCCTCTCACACTCCTTCCTTCCCAACTCTCGTAATTTATACTCAGCTGTCAAGAGGTGTCCAAATCTCCCCATTCGGAGTCATTGCGCTTTTTTTGCACTCCTTCTCCAAACCAGTTTCTGTTGAGCCCTTTGCGACACAGCACTGGTAAACACATGCTAGAAGAAATCTAATTTAATTTGACAAACTATAATAATGCATATTGTTCTTAGGATTTACTCGCATGACAGTTGGAAGAACCTGGACAGACATTTAAATCTATTTATTTAGTGGATGCTTTCATCCAAAGCGTCGTACAAGCAAAGATCATACAGGAGGGTCAGTCTCTGGAGCAACCAGGGGTTCATGGTCTTGCTCAAGGGTCCTACGGTGACACCACTGTACCAGCCACAGATGTTAAGCATTATGCTGTTACTCTGCCATCTCCCACTCTGGAAAGACAATATCAGCTGCGAGATGAACAACATTTACCAGCAGGTGAGATCTCCGGGCTGGGGGATGCGGGCACCAGGAGATGTCCGAGGTCTGTCTGGGATTTGTCACAAAAGGAAACCAAGACACCTGCGAAGAAAAAAAAAGGGGGGGGGATTATGTGGGCTTATTAATGTGACCATCTTTATTTAGACATTTAGGTTTAGAAATGAGTCATTTGAATCTATCATAATCCAACTTTTGACTTCTGCATACCCAGGAAGTGTTAGAATCCAATGGCACAAACTCAGCACTTATAGAGAACCAGGAAGCTCGATGAGAACCAACATTGTACTGAAAAGTACACTACAGTGTCACCTGATCAAAAGATTAAAACCTGATCTCTGCATGTTATTATGGCATCTACTGCATCAGGAATCATTATCCATATCAGTTTATGCTTTTACTGGATATATGAAGAATATATTTAACAGGACATACTGCCACAAATTCTGATTTACATTTATTTATCTATCAGACACTTTTATCTGAAGCAAGATACAACTGAGAAAGCAAGGTCAGTCAGTCCCTGGAGCAATTGGGGTTAAAAGTCTTGCTTAAGGCCTCAACAATGACATCACTCTGCCGAACATGGAATTTGAGCCATCAGTCTTTCAACCAATCAAAAGCACAGCATCCGAACCTGGTGAGCGACACACCAGTGCATTGTGTACATCTGTACTGATAGCTCAGAGTTCATAGTAAATAGCAAAAAGGCAGCAAAATTAACAAGGTCAAATAACTAAATTAGCTATGAAAAATGAAAGGTCAGTCCAAGGTTAAGATTTGTAAATGTTAGCCTAGCAGGACTCCGGTGAAAAAAAAAGTCATCTCCTTTTTCTAGCGATTTAATAATGCAGCAACAATTTACGGATATGATCCAAACCACTGCTGGACCGAGCTGCTCTCTCATGTACAATTTCCTTCCGCTTCGTTTGTTTGAGGCGGCCAGCTGTCAGTCAGAAAATATGAGGCCTACTCAGCAATATATATGAGCTGTCTGTGAGATGCCGCAAATCACCACCACGCATGCGATCTGTTGATTCGGATTCCCCATCTCTAACAACTTCCATCTTCCATATGGTGCCTCACAGTGCATTTCCTCTATCATAGCAATAATTAAAAAATCACGAATAGGCAAATCTTTGCAGCAGTCAATCAGTATATTAGTAATAGTTATACAAGAGTCTTCACCAATCAGCGAACACATATAGAGCACCAGGAGATTTGATCCATGGAGGACTTCAGACCACAATATTTTCACTTGCGTATTTAGATATTGAATGGACACTTTTGTCCAAAGCAACATACAAGCAAGGATCAGAGACCAAGAACCAATAGGGTTGAGGGTCTTGCTCAAGGACTCAATGGTGATGACAGGATTTGAACTGATGACCTTTCGATTACAGGATATCCTAACTCACGAAGTAAGAAACTGACAAATTGGGCTACATCCTACCAACGATCTTCTGAGCAGGCCGCTCACAGGCCAACATGAAAATAGCACATAGTTCGGTGGACATTGTGGGGTCCTCCACAAGACTCGACGCAGGAAGCCAGCTGTCCACAGCCTCGGGCGTCTGATTGGCCGCCGCACCCCACAACAAGAAAACAGAGGCACATTATAGGAGCCAGCTGCAACCTCCTGCCTACCCGCCTCCCCCATTCCCATTAGGGGGCTCCTGGCCAGGAGAAGGAGACATGCTCACATGAGAGTAAGGTACAGAGTGTCAATCCCACCTCCATGTTCACAGCAGGCAGATTCCTAGCCGAGAGGAAAAAGAAAAATAAAAGGACGGATGAAGAAAAGAGAGTGAGAGAATGGGTGTTGGCATTTATCTGGCCATTCATTGGTCAGCCTTAATGAACGGAAGAGCTGTTTGCTGGACGAGATGAGACCACTGTGTACAAAGGGCCGTGAGTGGACAGGGGTCTCCCTTTCAACGCGCTTTTTTGAGTCCCTAGCAAACGAGCGCAGCGTGGACGTCGGCAGCGGGGAGGCGGCGAGCAAAGGGGCCCGTCTGATTTACAGAGGGGCGTTAAGATACAAAACCCTGTTCATGGCTGATCACTCGCTCTGAATACTAAAATGCTGCACCTGCTCTCTAACAAGGGCAAGCTTCACAGCTGTTTACCAGCCCAAAACAAACGGCATCACTGAGAGAAATATTCAAGAAAGCACATACGCTATACCGCAACAGAAATACTTTAAATATCCCAAGTTTCCTTCAAATGAGTTGTAATTCTTGGCACTGCAGTGTGTACGTAACACAAAAAAACAAAATGTCTCATCCTGCAAGAGAATTAGGACAGCGTTCCAAGATTTTAATTATTTTTTTTTTTTTATTAAACCCAGACAAAGAAAAGGCATCGGGAATCGCTACTGAAACAAAAGTAATAGTGATCGAGCATCAAAGCTGTTCAGGGGAAAACCATGTCAACAGCTTTGCATTGTGACTTTTTAAAGCCATTTGTAATCCACCCATCTCCCATAGCTCTTCATCCAGCACGGCGCTGCAGAGAGTCTGGCGTCTATCCCAGGAAGTGCAGGCAGGGAACACCCTGCATGGGGTGCCAGGCCGCTTGTGTCTGTCATTGTAAATGTGCTAAAACACACAGCAATTCATTTTGCTAATGCAATAAAAAAAACAATAATAAAAAGCACTACAGAGACATCGCATGCTCTAAAGGAGTGTCTCTCAACCCAGTCCTCGGGGACCCCAGACAGTCCACATTTTTTGCACCCTCCCAGTTCCCAGCAACCAAACAATCAAGAACAAACCTAACAATCAAGAACACTGAATACCTGGTAGAGGGAGCAAAAATGTGGCTGTCTTGGGGTCCCTGACGACTTGGTTGAGAAACATGCAATAAAAAAGGTGCCCTGTATCTCCAAGGCCGCCGGGACAAGCGGCTGCACTCTGCACCCTGTGCCCTGACAGCGGGACCTTGCGAAAGGCCGGGCGGCCGCCACGCGCCTGCAAGAAGCTGCCAGACCTTCCGCCCAGAGCCCTGTTTCCACACTGACTTTAAACTCCTGCCCGAAGTGGCGTTGAAGTCACAGATTGCAAAACCACCAGCCGCGTTCCTCTCTGGGCAACAAGTGCTGTGATGCAACTGCAGTGCAGATCTCTGCTCTCCTGCTTTTGTAACATCAGACCGTAAACAACCTCCCTGAGATTCTCCAGCAATCTACACCCTCATCGCTTATCCTGGTCAGGCTTGCGGGAGCCTGGAGCCCATCGCAGGCAGCACTGGGCAGGACAGGATGCCAGTCTCCCCAGAAATTCCTTTCAGTCCACATGCTTCCAGCAACATGCTCCAGAGGCTTGGCGTTGGAGCTAGTTTGGTTTCCCATGGTGGGTTGGGCCCAGATTTACTATTTTCTTTGGCCATAATGAAACAGATGGCGTTTGGTGTACAGAACCCCAAACCCCAACCCTCCACATAAGTTATCGGAATTTACAGGAATTAACCACTGAGTTTTGAAGTGACCCTTCTAAAGATCAGGATCAGAAAACTTAATTAATCCCAGGGGGGGATTTGGTTTCATTACAGTTGCTATAGTTGAGAATAGAAGATGGTCTAGAACTGTCACTTCCAGGGGTGCTGATGAACATCCAGGAGGACAAATCCAGACAGTTTGCACACGATCAAACTAGAGAGCAGCTGCAAACTACCAGGGATGAACTCAAACCCAGCGCAGCCACACAGAAAGGCAGACGCTCCGGGCAAACATGCAGTGACGTAACTGGGCTCCTAATTCATACAGAGGAGCCAAACTTATCTTTAACCAATTACAGGTTTTGAATCGGTGAGTGACCAGGGAGGGGGCAATGCTGGGGCCAATCAGCTTTCAGTTAGGGCCAATGGTCCTGTGGCCCCGCCCCCTGAATATGCCCCTGAGGGTGAAGGGGTCTCCCATGCATTCAGGGTCCTGTTAGCAAACACTGACATGCCGCCTGCGTGTCATGGTCTGCAGGGGGCGTATCACCCACACACGTGCCTGCTAACGTGGAGGAGGAGAAAGGAAGCAGCAGAGACTCCAGCACGCAGCCACGGTCACGCAGACGCAGACGTGAACGCACATTTATACATACCAGTGCATAGTGTGGCAATACAGACAATGGACAAAGAATCTCACACAGGTACAGGGGTGGGTTTGATGTTTCTAGGCTACCCATTCCTCCACCCGTCAAGTGCAGTGACTGTTTGTGGCCAACAGGGGGGCAGCAAACCTCAGGGGCCCCACGCAAATCGCATTAAAAGTGAATTGTTATTCAGCTTCTGTGTTTCTAGGAGAAATTACAGTAATAAGATTGTAATAAGTCACAAGTACAAGCCTTCTAACCTAAAACAATGTTTCCCTCCCACCTCCCAGAGCACCAAAGAACAAACCAAACACCAAATACATGGCACAGGTACACTGAGAGCTGGAAGGGAGCAAAAACGTGGAAAGTCTGGGGGTCCCTGAGAATTAGGTTGAGAAACACTGATCTAATAGAAACACTTCATATCCGCGATTTGCAGAGCGATCTCTGGCACTTTTCACACCATTCAGTCAGTGCTTGACACCTTAAAAAAAAGTGAGAGAATGAATGCTATCAGTTTCTCTGAGCTTCCAGTCTGCTAACTCCAGAGGGGTGGGGGGTCAGGACACTTTCAGGGACTGAGAGATGGCAGGCACATCCTCTGCTCGCATTGGGCAGTGCTCCTATATGCACAGATTCACGCTCCCCACATCCCGTGCATCTTGGATTCTTCACTCCCTAATAGGGTTGCAAAGGGGTGGTAAATCTCGGGAAACTTTCCGGAAACATTCCAGAAACTTTCCATTCCATGGGAAGTTAAGATGAGGATTTTTGGAAATATTCCAAGTTTTTGTTGGAATTACTGGGAATATATGGGGATTAGTGGAAAAATCCCAGAATTTTGCAACCCTGGCACACATTCCCTCACCCTGACCGGATTTGCATCCTTCAGAGCTCCTTCCCCTAGGACACTGTAACGATTTGCACACAGCTGTCAGGCATCCACACACTGGCAAAATTATTAGCCACCTTCTACAATACGAGGGTTGCTGATGAAAA